ACGAAATGAAACAAATAAAGTTTGATTTTTCAATTTTTAATGGATTCAATATAAATTTATCTATATCTATAGTATTATGCAAATGGTAATGATTCTTCAAAAGATACAATCGATAATAATGATAGAATTTTAATTGCACCTCTATCAACAACTAAAGGAACTTCACTTGAACGAACAGTAGAAGATATGTAAGTGTATGGTGAACAATAGAAGACATTAAAATCATTAATTAAGAAGATATCATTGAAATATTTGTATCAAACTGCTTATGTAGTTTCATAAACTCGAAATATTTTCTATAATAGTTATTAGTAATTATTTGTTTCCTTACTAATTGTGGGTCTTTTTTTTGTAATGATTTTTTCATACTGTCTATTTAAATAATGGTATCAGGTATCGAGGTCGAATTTCCGGTATACATGAAAATCGTCTAAGAGATTATGATGATTTCTACATAGGATATTATGATAATGAATAATCTGCAAAGCATTTTATAGATTTCGCAAATCATCCTAATCCTATTCACATCGCAAACCACTCTAATCAGAAGGTAGATCTGATATATTATTTCTTAACCATTATGTATATTTTGTGGATGAAATTAAAATTTGAATAGACATACATTTGTACAAAAATCAAAATAATAGAAATCTGAATAGAATAACTATGCTTATTTTTCTAAATACTTTCAAAATTTAAAAGATTTTAGTCTATCTTTGAACGTGAATAAATAGGAAATCCTCATCCACTCAACATCTATGTGATTTGAACCGGATAAAAGCTGTCAGTACACGAGCAATCAATCGGTAGTTGTTGTCTGATCGGTATACCATCGGTATCTATGAGTAGAGATGTAAGCCGATCGGTTGAGCCATCATTATAATAACTTAGTTTTCTAAACGCTTTCTTTTTCGAAAGTTTTCCATTAAGGAATTAATATGTTTTTTCTAATCCTTTGTAAGCAAGGGATTTTTCATTAACTATTTGATATATGACTGCTATAATTATAATTTTTTTTCTTCCTTTTCTTTTTCATTTTACTCTCTTAGAATTCTAAATGTGCGCATATTGATTCGAACTTTGATCATATCTTAATTTTGCCTACAGAGTATGTATATATTGATCTGATATTATATCATATGTCATAGTATAATAAATATTTTATTAAAATCAATGATCCAAAACATGAAATATGCTAGTATTGAAGTTCGATTACTGTTGTTGTTTTTTTAGGGTAACATTTGAATTTGTCGAAAAATTTCGTAAATCATTTGCTGAAGCTGATACTGATAATACAGGTTATTTGGATGTTAGTGAATTTACTGCATTTATGCGACGAACATATCCTGATATAACCGATCGTGAAGCACAAATTATTTTTATGAAAGTATGAAATAAACATTTAATAGAAGAAAAACAAAATATAAATCAATTGTTTTTTTTTTCTATTAGATAGGTAAATAAAGATTATATTAAATATAATCAATTAAATTTTTCCTATAGATACAAATTGTGATGGTGAAGTTGATCTTTCAGAATATTTAACATATATTTTATTTGAACATCAAGAAAGAGAAATTATGTATGATATGTCAAAACCAATGCCTTATCCAACTAATCCAAAAGAATTTACATTAAAAAATCTTTCACTTGATGTGTATATTGGTGTAAATAAAAGAAAAAAAAAATTTTTTTCGATTTGAAAATAAATAATTTCTTTTTCTTTTTTGAATAGTTTCAATTTTTTCCGGGCATATCACGTACTGGTAAAATTCTTGAACAAATTGATTATACATATGGACGATATATATCAATAACACGTAATGGTATTATATCACATTGGTCAATATCATTAAAACTTATTCGAGAATCAAAAATTCAATCAATTGAACAAAGAAAACAGTAAATTAAACAACAAAAAAAAAATCTTACGAAGAAAGATCTCCCAAGTGATAAATTGTTTTCGAGCTGCTAGGCCTTCATTGCTGAGATTTCGAATGTTTAGGGAATTTTTCCTATAGGGCCCTAGTTTTTATATGAAATCATACTTTTGAATTTTGCCCACATAAAGGCAACGATTAGATTAGCTTGTAGAAAAAATTTCAGACTATTTTTGTACCAAGTCTCTTCGAGGTATGACTCTTTCAAAATATCCATGTTTTTTACAATAGTCATGGTAAAACGCCTATTTATTAGAAATTTCAAATATTAAAGAGACTTACAAGAGAAGTCTGCAAGTGTGACACGCTGTTTTGAATCGGACCTATACCAGTTAGTAGAACTCGATAAGACTAGAGGAAGCTTAAAAGGGTTAGTCACCATACGCTGTCCTTCTCAAGTTATAACCGTTTTACCGAATTTTCGACCTCTAGTAAAATTTATATGGGAAAACCGAATCACAGGATTTTGACCTGAAAGATTGCCCATCGATAAGTCTCATGGTCCTTAGGATGTTCTAAGAATTTCAGATCAAAATTCCGTAATTCGATTTTCCCATATATACCTTGTTATAGGTCATAACTCGAGAAGGACAGCTTACGGGGATGAACCATTTTAGGCTTCGTCTAGTCTTATCGAGTTCTACTAACTGGTATAGATTCGAATCAAAACGGCACGTCACACTTGGGGACCTTCTCTCGTTAGTGAAAAACTTCTGAATAATCTAGTTGGTACCTTTATATGGGCAAAGCGTCATGTCCAAATTCAAAAGTATAGTTTTACTTGAAAATTGGACCCTACACAGAAAAAATCCACTAAAAGTTCAATATCTCAGTGACAAAGACCCAGTAGTTCGAATCACTCTATTGTATTTACTCACTAGATGCTATCGATTGAATATAATTTCATTTTCAAAGTGATTTATCACTTGGGAAATTTCCATCGTTAGTCTAGTCTTTTTTTCTCTGTATAGAACTCTTCCATTATGGATAACATGTACATGTGTTCTACCAGATATGAATTATTTTGCTATAGCAACAACAGAACGTGATCTAATTTTTTATGACATAAATTCTCATACATATACAGGTTCTATTATAATAAATCATTTTCCAGCTAGTCTAACAACAATTGATTATCGTATGAATATAAAAAATTCTTCTCAATCAACAATTTTTTGTGGAGATTCATTAGGAAATTTATTTATATTTCAAGCTAAAGATCCATATAAACCAATGTTTCATATATCTGATATAACACATTATATGAAAACAGGTTCAATAAGAAATTATTCATTTCCACGAATAATTAATAATGAATATTTAACTGTATCAATAATTCGTTTTTGTAATTTACATAATGATTGGATTGTTCAAGTTAAATGGATTGATGATCTAGATTTATTTATATCATGTGCATTAACATCAACACGAAGTTTATATATTGGAGATTTAAATAAAAAAATGGGAAAATATGCTGTAGCAAAGAAAGGTTTTACTGTTTTTGATTATTGTAAGGTATTGAATAATAATAAAAAAATGATTTTTCTTATGATGATAAGAAAGAATAAAAGATAAAAAGTATAATAACTAGAATTGGAAATTAACTAAAAACATGAAAGAATGTAATAGATATTTTTTTTTTGCTATTACAAATTTGTTGTCGTTTTTTTAAACTGAAAAGAAATCAATACATACATATACGTTCTGAGATGATGACTGATGAGGGAAGTCCTACAGCTGATTAATCGCTTTTGAAGTTTGAACAATCTACATCAATGAGTTATGAATACTCGCAAAGAAGTTTGTACTATTAGCTTATTGCTGCTTAGATACTGAGGACTTTGCACCGAGCCCAAATTCTGACTAGATGTTTGCGTTGAACAGTCCACGTTCGAGTTCAGACCATGTTGAGTATTTCGGCAATTACCCAAGTGTTTCTTGAGGTATATGGACAATCATGAAAGCATCTTAAGGTTCGGTCACATTCGATCTTGAGTGCTTCTGAACATCGTTGATTTTTTTTAGTATGCCTACAGACCTTCAGTTTATGAATCATTTATTCCACTATGTGTAGATCTACCACAGTTAAGTCTGAAATTTTTTTCTTTTGGTTTACTTCTACTTCCTTTTATTAATTGACTGAAAATGATTGTAATCAAGATCGAATTCGAACCTAAAACGTTCGGATTTGATGTTTTTTTATTTTAGGATAAGAACGACAAAAATGTCTGAAACTTATACAATTAACTATTCTATTTCAGACTTATCTCTGGACAAAATTTCAAGTCGAAATTTGAAAATTAGTTTTTTCCAGATTTATCTGAGAGAAACTACATATTTGATTTGAAAAATTCCTTGAAACTGCAGTATCTCAGCAGCAATAAACTAGCAACACGAACTCTTTCTAAAGTCTCAATAACGCATTAGGATCCATCCATACCCACACCCTTTACTACTAAACCAGAACTTCATTGGATAATCATCAATTGGATGACCCCGGTTTCCTACAGGATACACGTCTTGTGACATTTTCTATTACAGACATGCATTTCAACAGTAGTACTTAATCATATGTATATATATATATATTTTTTTTAATTCAAAAGGCTCATCGATCAATAGTAACTGGTAGTAATGATGGTGTTATTCGTTTTTGGGATCCATTTGTTACAGAACGAGCAGCAGCTATATTACGTGGACATAACTCTTCTGTTACTCATTTAGTTGTTGACAATCGAGAAAATCATATAATTAGTATTGATAAAGGAAAAAGTAAGATTTCTTTTTTTTTTTTAAATTTTATTATTATTTTGAAAATATATTATAAATTATGTTAGATATTATTATTTGGGATGTTCAAACATTAAAAATAATTCAACGTATATCACATACAATATTTGATTTATCTGGACAGGATTTAACAATATGTTATTTAAATCCAACACAACAATGTTTAATTATAGGCAATAAAAAACTTCTTTCATTATCACATATAAATGAATCATATATTCATAATGAACGTACATCACATATATATTCAATAACAAAAATTTTATATAATTCTTTATTTGATGTTATTATATCATGTGATGAAGGTTCAACAATAAATATATGGAATATAATAACAGGTGAAAAAATTATGCATATATTAAATGCACATGTTACACAATTTGATGAATATAATGAACATGCTGTAGAAATAACAACAATGTGTTTAGATGAAGCTAAACGTCGTTTAATAACAGGTGCACATGATGGTTCATTAGCATTATGGAATTTTAATAATGGTCATAATCTTTATCGTATTAATTCAAATGGTATACATGCAAAAGAAATAACAGCATTATTACATGAAAATGAACGTTTATTTGTTGCTGGTTGGTCAAGACGTATTCGAGTATTTCATTTGAGTAAATCAGTTATTATTCGACAAGGTTTGTATTAAATTTTAAATGAATGATTAATATACATTTTGAATAATACGGATTTTTTACGATGAACTAAGAAGGTTAAAAGAGAATTTAAAGAATATATTATTCGACCAATACGGTATAGCATTCCTGAAATGATAAACTTTGAACGATCGTAAACGGTCAGATACTTAGTTTTTCAGACTGTGTATGGCACGATAAAATACTTTTGTAATATTACGTCTATCAAACGTTAATTTACATCTATTTTCAACCACAAACTATGTGAAACAACTTCATACAGTTCTGTTTTTGGTCGTCTCAATGACTATAATCATCGACCTCGGATGTCTTTCATGTAACTAGGATGATTTTTTCAGATCATCGAAAATAGCTATAGGAATATATTGAATAACGATGATCGTTTATTTGCCAGTTTTCGATAATAATTCATCATCCGAGATTATAGAACGTTTTTCATGGTTAGGTACACAACCATTTAGGGCATTGTCTGATTCACAATGTTTATTGTTGCTGTATACAGTTTCGCTTATCTACTCTCATTAGAACCTATGCAACATTCTATGCATACGTGTCTATTAATATGAAACATTTTATTTTATAAGAAGGATTCATTTAATATGTACTAACTATACGTATGAAACAAAAAGAAGGCATACAATGATAAAAATTTATCTAGTCAAGCAAAATCAGATATTCTTTGAAACAAACTACATAGTTGTCTAAATAGGAGTAGATAGACTTCAAGAAGAATATGTTTTTTTTTGAATAAAAATTAAAACTTGAATAGATTTCATATTGAATATCTAGAATACAAAATAATAAATGTTCTCATCTATGCTAATAACCAATGAACGAAGATGATTTAAGGGGAAGAGAAAGATTGAATCGTATTCTAATCTCAACAAAGCATTCAGGCAAGAATTTGGGTATGGTTCACTTACGAAGGAGCTTCTTCAACTATCTCCTTCTAATTTCAATGATTTTTTGCCTATAGATACTACATAGTGTTCTAATAAAAACTCTAAAAAAAAAGTTGAATTCCTATTGATATTTGACTAAACTGGACTATCTTCCATTAAAAAAATTTCGCAGTTTTGAACAGTGTTACTTTCATATCTCGAAAAGACTTTGTTTAAAACTTATGGATTGATTTTATAGAAGCTAGTCTTGTTCAGTTCTCTATATGCACAAAGTTTTAGATCAAAATTCGAAAATACGAGTTTTCCGAAAACCTGGAATAGGAAACAAAATTCTTTTAGAGTTTTCATTATAACACTATGTAATATTTACAGACAAAAAAAAATCATTGAAATCGAAAAGAAGCATCTGAAGAGGTTCCCTAATTAGCGATAATAAATAAGATTATCAAGATTCTTTAGTTTAGTGTCAAAGAAATGCGAGTTTTCAATAAGACTTCTTGATGGAACGAGCCGGATTGGTTCCAAATCCGACTGTGTCCGTATCGTGTCTGAAAATTTTGGATCTGACGGATTCTACTTGTTGGGGATTATTGAAATTATCAGATCCCAATATTTTCTTTACATGCCTTGAAACAAAGTAAGACGATCACAACTCCTAAAATGATCAGTCTTGTTTTTTCTCATCTCAGTAGTAATCGAACAACAGAGAAAATCTATTATTTGACATAATTCTCCAAATTGGAAGTAAAATATTCGATTAACAATGTCTAAAATACTTTTTTTTTTGTAATTTTCAATTTAATTAGTCGATGAATTTCGATCATTACATAATGATGATATTTTATCAATGAGTATAATGATGAATATTCTAGCCACTGGTAATGAAAAAAAAAATTATTCGAAATCGTATCTATTTTTCGATTATTCATCTTTAGCTAGTTATGATGGTGATATTATTCTATGGACAATTGAAACAGGAATGCCATTTATGAAATTAAATTCAGTTCAAGATATTAAACCAAAACTAATATCACTTTCATGGCTTTATAAACAGACGGTATTTTGTTTTTTTCTAGAAGAATAATTTTATTTGATCAATAAATAAATGTAGACAAAAGGTGCTATTCAAACTGTTTTTCCAAAATATTTTTCTCGTCGAAGAATTAAAAAAATAAAAAGACGTGATACAGATAATACAGAACGGTTAGATAATATAAAAAAAAAGATCTTCAAAACAGAAAAATAAAATAATTATTTATATGATAGAATTCGTCAATCATTATTAAATCGTCTTCGAACAAATTATGAAACATCTGTTGAAAGTGTTTTGTATGTTTTATTATTATTATCATTATTTTCATGCTTTGATTATGAAATATCTTAGAAAATCTAATGTTGATAATCAATTTCATCCATCAATAATATCATCTGATTATCATTTGGATGAATTAATTTTTCTTCATACACGTGAAATAAATCCTTCGTCAGCTACTCTTATTACTGCTGGTAGTATGGGTTGGATTTGGTGGTGGTCTATACATGTAATTGGACGTTTAATTGCTGTTTTTAATGGAGCAAGAAAATCTCAAGGTTTGTTTATTCAATTTTTTTTTCTGTAAGCAAATAATTTTCTTTTTAGAACATGTTCTAGCAATGTGTGTAGATGAAAAATGTAATATATTATTTACATGTAAGTTTAGAAGAAAAGTTCTTCGAAATAGATTATTAGTAAATCTTAGCTGATACAGCTGGATATGTTGCCCTATGGTTTATTGGTGATTATGCTTGTAAACAACCGGATTCAAAAGAAAAACAAATGAAATTAATGGAAGAAAAAAATCAAATATTAACATATTTTTCTTCTAGTCTACATCCAAATAGCGCTGGTTTGTAGAGAATAAACTATTAGAAAAATAAAGATTGCAAACGTCTCAAAGATTCAAAGGGATCTTTTAGTTTGTGGAATAGGTTTCTTTTTATGCAAAAATTTAATCGAATAAACTTGAATCATACAAAGTGCTGCAGTTTTAACCTTATAAGAAAATTAATAAAACAATTCAATGGGATTTTTCATTTGTCTCACATAGATTGTTTGTATAACTAGATAAGCCAGTTTTCTATTGATCAATCGCTTTCTCAGCGAAAACTACTGGATTATCGGTTACCGACCATGCTGATTCCGAATATAACCATAAGATAGTCTTCTAGGTCTTTATATGCTAGTTTTACACACTAATGAGTATTTTGTCAAAATCATTTTAGATCTGCTTAGATTGTAGAGCATATCGAGTTGTACACGTGATATGAAAAAGAATGATAACTATCTATTCATGAATAGATTAATAAATCATTTGTTTTTGAACAGAAATACAAGAAATGAAGAATCAAGCTGAACAAAAATTACGAGATCATATGGGAACACCACCCATTGGTATAAATCAAGATCGAGCTACATTTTTAATAAATACTGTTATTTATCCACAATTATTAATTGCTTATCGTGCACATATTCGACCAATAACATCAATTTGTTATGCTAATGATCGTGAAATTGTCATAACAAGTTCAATTGATTGTACTATACGATTATTTACTCTTACTGGACGATATATTGGTTATATGGGTCAATCAATGTCTTGGGGACCATTGAGTTCAAATATTATTTTAAAAGAGTCAGTTAATTCATTTGCCTAAATAATCATTTTCATCACTTCGTCTTCTCTTTTCACCTCAGGGAGGGGCCTACTCTCGGATGCACTATAGTTTATTGATTTTATGACAAAATTTAAGGATATTACATAGGTTTTTCGGAACTCTCATACTGAAGAAAATAACGTTTTTTCTAAAACCTGTCATTTTTAAAGTTTTTAAAACTTCTCTATTGACTTTTGGTATTGATACATATGATTATCCTGTGTCACTAAGTATGATAAGTAAATACAATATTCGAATATGAAAAATCATAGAATAAAATGAAGGTGTTGGTGTGAATGAACTGAAGGCTCCACACCTTGCTATACATTCATTTGATTCATTCTAATCAGTGATCTATAACAACTTACTCATAGATTCTTTTTATATCAGTTTATGGAGGAAAAAAGTCTTGAAATACAGTGTTGAAACGTATTGTGCGTTTTTTTCTCAAAAGGATTTCTGATTTTGATATTTTCCGTGTGTTCGAGATTTCGTCACCATTTTAAACGCTAGAAACCTGCATTTTATCAGAAGAATTTTCAAGAAAAATGGAAAAATTGAGCTCTATTAAAGATATACCAAATACGGAGATGCGTGTTCGAGGAAAAGAATTTTGAAGTGAGTTTTTGCTGAGAGACCAAGGCTTTCTATAGGGTCACATCCTAATCGCTTACGAACTTCATCTAATTTCGTTCAATCGAACTGAAATTTTTACCACTGCTACTTGGAAGTATTCTCCAGAGGTAAAATTGGCCATAAACTCGGATTTCCCAGCAAAACCCGCCTTCAAAATTTTTGCTCTCGAACATGTGTCTCCTTATTTTTAGCGCTTTATCTACGATAGAAATGTCAGCTTGGTCGACTGTATCATCTTCAAAAACCAAGAACGAGGGATAGTATATCCTTCAGTTGCGGTATCAGATTTTGGCTATATTTTGAAACCAATCCGAACTTTCTTGCATTTGAAATTGCGAGAAATTCGTGACGCTCGGATACTTATATTTTAACCCATAATCTTAAGCTAATCATTGTGTCGAGCTGAAGCTTTTACTATGAGATGCCTAACTCCAGATACACCCTTTCTGAAAACTCTATCAAGATTGGATAGTCAAAAATAATTTTGTGAGTTCTCTTAATAAATAAAAATATATGTAAAGATTACCCGGCTCTTCTGCGGGTGACGTCAGAGTGCCAACACTTACGTGCAAAACTAATTCAGTTTTCTGTTCTGATTAGGTTAGGTTAGGTGTGTGGGTGTATATCGGTGTTTTCTCTTCATCTAAACATCTACACCCACAACCGCTTTCTTTTATTCGTGCTGATGAGTTCAATTAATCTAATAATATAGAAACAGAATAGTTAATCAAAGTTTGAGAGAAAGAGAAGTTCTACATAAACAGAAAAATAAAATTCATTTTTCACGATATATATCTATAGTTTACCAAAACAAATTCCTGAAGATATACGTCGAATTGGTTCAGCTACAACACTTGAATTACTTCGTGGTGATGTTGGAAAACGATGGAAATTATTAAAACATACAATTGTTGCATGGACTTCATTACCTATTTTTCGATATTTTTGTATGTATGTTTTTTTTTTGTCTTAAAATTATTCAATAAATTTCAAATATTCAGATCAAAATAAAGATTCTGAAATTCAAAAAACATCCGTTCATATACAATCACAATCAAATATTCATCATGAATCAAGTAATTCCACAATAAATCATTTACGAAAATTAGATATTGAAGAAAAACGAGAATGGATACAACGTCGTGAACGTCTTCAACAAATAATTAAATTAGATCGTGTAAATTTTATTCCAATTATTAAAAAAAAATCTGTTGAATCAATGCTTAAAATTCAACGAGAAAATTTTGGTATAACAATGCCTATACTTGGTCAATTTAGTCGAAAATATATGCAACATAGACCAATATCAAATTTCAATCATTTACAAATTCATGGTGGAAAGGTTAAAAAATTATTTTATTGATAAAATAAACTATTCGATTATTAATTTTTTCTAGGCAATTATTTATTCATTATTACCATTAGCATCCTCACCAGATAATATCCCAGATTTTACATTAAATTCGGAAGAAATTCAAAATGATATTTTATTCGAATATGCCGATATAAAATTGCAAGAAAACGAACATTTACAACAACGTATTAATAAACATTCAATAATTCAATCGAATGAACTTTTTTTCAATGAAGATAAATTACCAAAAATTAAAAGAAATCAAGATATTCAAATATGTCCATCAATTAAATTACAAACAAATACTTTATCATTAAAATAAGCATTTGTTTTTCTTTTGAAAACTATTCATAGAGCTTATTCAGATTTAAAATATGAAGATATTAGCAATTTAGCTTCTAGTTTATAATACAAATAAGATGTTAATAATAATTTTGTCACAGCAGAATAACAGAATAACTATTGCTTCAATTTTCTCAAAAGAATCTGAATTACAAGAATCCTTAGTGAACGTACTGACAATGGAAGTTTTCCAATTGATCAAGCACTTTTGAGTCAAAAGCATGTGCACATCCTGTAGGCTCGAATGGGTTATGAATACTCCAAAAAAGTTCGCGTCCATAACTTACTATTGCCGATATATTGCATTTTTACGGTATTTTTCACTATAATGCTGTGGTTCTCTTAGAAACATCAGGAAAACTGATTTTTGAATTTTGACTTGAAATTTTCCATAGAAACAAGCCTTAACAAGAATATTTAATCATGAAAGCATTTGATGGGTGTGGGTGTCTCGAAATAAGAACATCGAATCTGCGAGTGTATATAAACGACGTAAAGGACGTACTTTTAGTATGGCTACATCTTAGAATAGGAATGATGAAAATATTTGAAATTTTCACAATAAACTGTTCTCGTCAAGGCCTATTTCTATGCAAAGTTTTAAATCAAAAATGGAAAATGAATTTTCTTGGTGTTTATGAGGTGTGGACCACGGTATTATATTTAAAAATACCACAAAAAAGTGCAATATGTCGGTAGCAATAGGCTATGAGCGCAAAGTCATTTCGAAGTATTGATAACCCATTCGAGTCTACATGATGCACATACTTTCGGTTCAAAAGCGATTAATCAGTTAGGAAATTTCTCTCGTAAGTTCTGCATTCTAGAAAAACATCTTTTCAAGGCGAGACTTGATCTACGGCACATTTGTTGTCATGCCACTGGGTGTAGAATTTAATTCCTAACGAAATAGTATGATTGTTAAATTGAAGAGTAGCAATATTAAGTTATATTGAATTAAAAAAAGATCAACAATGTAATTCTGCCAAAAAAGGATTTTTCCAATTTTTTCGCATTTTTTTATTTCAAAAAATTTTCTCCACTATAGTTCTTCTAAAACCCTAAAACATATATCAAAAGATACAGAATTTTATAGAGAACTTCATAGCATATTGGACATTTCAGCGAAATATTTATAAAACATTTTTCGTTTTTTCGACCGTCGTAATTATTAGACGATTGATTTAAATTTTTCACCAACAAAAAAAAAAAGAAAGTTATTTGAAAAACAAAGACAGTAGTTTTGTAGAGTAGAAAATTCTCTATTGAATGAGCCTAATACGAAATTTCTGTTGTATTAAGAAGTGTTTTAAAAAGAGGAAAATATTTTAATTCGTTTATTATGCGCTACCCGTTAATCGTTATTCCAATTCAATATATTTCAATATTTAAATATGATATAAGAAATGAAGAGAGTTAAGTTGAAATTCCCAATAATGGTAAGCAACTA